AGCACGTGCACAAGTGCCGACAAATCATTGATTCATTAACCTGTGCTGTGCCGTCTCCTTCCTTTTTTGCACACCTGGCTGTTCCTCTCTTTGCACCCCTTTCTCGTAACAAATAGTGAACTGTGTCAAGATTTTAATGATAGTTTGTTTAACAACTTTTGTATTTTTAGGACATAAATTCTGAACAAAAAATCACAGAGTTGGTCTGATGTTTTGATTATGATCAGTGTTTCATTGAGTACTATATGTTTAGTAGTTTTTGATTTAGATTGCAATTCATCGGTCCGATTTTGAGCCAAACGGACTATAACATCAACGACATCCAGAATATCACAACTATCCCTAGTTATGACTAGTTTTTGTGTATGACCTGATCGATGAGTTGGACCAGACACATGCTGTAGGAGATTGAAAGATGTCACACAGTAGGATTTAGCAGACACAGAATCCACATGGATATTGAAATTCCCTATTAGAACCAGATGACCTCGTTCAAGGGCATCTTTGACAAGGGAGGACTAACATTCAGGAACACTTGCCACATGATTTTGGTCGCTGAAATTTTGGGAAGAAAACCCATTCCAGCTGCGTTATATACTCATCATCGTACTTTATATGATCGTTTAACAACCATTTCATTACCTAGCTCTTCCTGGATCATTCCTGCATCATCGATTTATGTCTAAAAGAAAGTTTTGTTCACTAAATTTCAAAGAAAGAAAAGATGTGTTACAAAAATATAGTTTTGTTTCATTTTCACGATGATCCTGCCAATGTTCCCATATTGGAACAAACCTGTATCTCTGGAACCGTTCAAGATATCAGTATGAAAGTTTTGATTTTTCGTAGTTGCACCATTTTGACACTCCCCTGTAAATTTTCTGTGTTTCTGACAATGGGATCTAGTACCGGTATGATAAAGGTTAATGCCGAACCAAGCAAAGGCAAGTTATGAAGGATGATGCATCGGCATAGAGGAACCATATGTCCACAAACTGACAATGTCCGATGAACTGACCAAGCCATCATGGCACGCTGACGTCACAAAATAGAAGGTGGGGTTGCAAACACCAAAATGACACAGACCACTCAGTGTCTTGTGTGGGCTCCACGTGCGTTCACAACGGCTGCACAACGTCGTCGCATACTGCCATCGAGACTGATGACCTCGGCGATGGCGACCCTGTCGACGTCCCTTACACTCTGTCCCGCATGTAATCGCCCCAATGGCTTCATGGCGTTGATTTTGAATTCACGACGTGATTTGCACGTGCAACATCCGGCTTCAACTATCGCCCAACCATTGACCGGATTTGGTAGACTGGACAAGCAAATCTTCATTCACAAAGACAGCGTGCTAACCGCTGTAGCTGTACTGCAACATCGCCTAGTCCAGATGGATCGTTCTATTACATCTGCATCTTAAGGGGAAAACAACTATATGATTTTAGGGATGTTTCATTTCCCCTTGTCAACTTCTTGTTCCACTCATTCAGCATGAAATATATACCAACATTATCGGTGTCAACGAAACATGACTTGTGTAATAGTGCGTTAGAATCTTTACCGATTTTTATAGGATAAACGGTAGAGACAAGTAACATGTAAGTAAAAATAAACAAGGGGTTTTGTAATATATACATTTGAAAGAAGTGGTGTCTCTCTGTCTCTCCCTCTTTATTTAGAGAGAGAGAGACACACGCATACAGATGACACCAGCAGCTACCGGGTTGAAACGTTTATGGAGCGCTGTGTTATGTGCCTGATTGGTTCACACTGACAAGGTTTCAGATATGAACATAATTATATCCTTTTAAGCAGGTAAACTGGGAAATGGCTATATATACATTACGTACAAACATATATACTACCGACGAAAAATAGGGGAACTGATGAAATCACAGTGAATGTGTAATTGCTCTAAATGTCCACAAAATCAATTTTGGGCCTGAAGTTCAATATACACGACACCTTGATGGCATACTGTTGATTAACCTCCAGATGGTTGCCCGTGGTATTGCCTGTCATTCCGCCTGAAGGGCTACCCCAATATACATATGCAAGTCCAATATACATAAGATGTATAACATTTGTTAAACTTAGATGTGCAAAACAGTATTACAGGCACTTGAAGCACATATACCTAAACAACATGGCAATTATATCACCAAAAAGATGTAGAAATAAACTAAGATCGGTGTTAATGGTGATTACTTAAAACGTTTTGCTACGACAACTGTCTCCACAGGTGGTACTGTGATGACTTCAGGTTAAGAGGTTATGAACAATATATTGTAGATGTGTTGTCATGTACATGCTGTATGTCAGGTATTTCCCTCAAACATAAAGCAGGTGAGAAAGGACATATATAGTATGACCAGAAATTATTGAGAATTTTAGGAATATGTTTAATTGGATTTCTAGTATAAACAACCTTCCTTGACCAGCTATCAAGTGCTTGGTTTCATTCAAGAGAGACAACTCCGTTAATACTTTTTCATTAGTTTGTGAAGAGTTATTCCCCTTTGTTGACATGCCAGCAGACGACATTTTCAGTGATCCTCAGTATGGATGATTTAGAGAAGAGGAAGTTGATTTTAGAGTATTATAACAAGGACATCAGATCAGCTAAAGTGATTTCAAGTAGAACAGGCATCCCTTTGTCCACTGTTTATCGTGTTTTGAAAAATATTGCAAATGGATATGGCATTGAGCACCAGGGAGGCGCAGGTAGGCCCAGAAGATTGACTGTCGGTGACAGGAGGCGGCTTGGTATTCTTGTTTCTAAAAACAAACGAAGGAGTTAAGAAAAGTTAAGGCTGGATATGATTGATAAATGAACTGTGGCTGTCTGTAAGGAGACGATTAGCTATAGAACTGAGCTGCATGCAATGGGTTGGCAGAAAAGTCGAGGAACTGCATCACCGATCATGAAACCTGAACAAAAGGAGCGAAGGTTGAACTGGTGCTTACGGCATAGAAATTTTAACTGGGACAATGTGAGTTTCTCAGATGAAAGTTCTGTGTTGCTGTTTCCTAATACACTGAAATTCTGGACCAAACAAACTGAAAAACCTTTGTATCAGCGCCCAAAGTACAGTCCGAAATTTAACGTGTGGGGTGACATATCTGTGTTTGGGGCAACGCCCCTCTGTGTATTTGAAGGGAATATGAACAGTGAACGGTACACAGATATTATCGGGGGACATTTACTTCCATCTGCTAACGTGTTCTATTGAAATTTCCAGCAGGACAACGACCCAAAACATCGTTCAAAGCATTCACAGGCCTGGTGACATTATGACATTAATAGATTGGCCAAGCTATAGCCCAGACTTAAATCCATTAGAAAATGTTTGGGGACTTATGAAGGAAAGTGTCAATAAGAAAAATCTGACAAATATTACTGAAATGAAAGAAGAGGTGGTCCGATAGTGGGACAGCATGGACCACGACTTTCTAACTTCTTTGATCGGTAGTATGCCCCGCCGCATTGAAACCTGCATTGCTTGACTTGACAAAATACTAACTGTTCACCTGTCATTGAATCTGGAGTTATGCTCCGCTTATATTTTCACATACGTGAGTAATGGGTGAAAAAAATATTAAAAATTACAATCTTAAATTCTCAAAAATTTCTGGTTGCACTGTACATCTATTTATAACAATACACTCTTCTGATTTTTCGTTTCCCCGAGCATAGCTCTTTCAAGCATATTGAACAATTAACTATAAACAGTGCATGCAATAATAAATTTAGTTCATTCGGGTCTACGGCTTCAAATATGATGGAGCAAATGTGAAAGGCATACAATAATACAAACGTGCATATACCGGCTCAAACCAAACCGGTGCAACTATGTGTACACACATATACATTTGTATTGCACAGAAGTATCTTCTGCGTTCGCTTTGATTAAGCTGTTATATAGCGACGAAATGACACATAGATTCATACAATTCATTCGAATTCTATTCTTCATTTCCCCAATCATATATTTTACAAGCGTCTTCAACAATTAACTGTAAACAGTGCATAAAATTGTAAATATAGATCAACCAGGTCGTCCGATTCTAATATGATGGAGCACACACACAGAGGACATACATAAATACGTACATGCATATATCAGTTCAAACCGAACCAGTCCAAATATGCGCATATACATATACACTTGTATTGTACAGATATAGCTCAATACATACCCTATATCACACCTTCAAACAACTTTCAGACTGAAATAATTGTAACAAACTCACATAGTTCAATTTCAAATCGCTTAGATTTGACAGTAAATAATGAGGTGTTTGCTATCGGTAGATATTTTAACATTACCATACTATACTGAATATTTACCTTTTTACATCAGTACTGAACTGTTGTTGCAAGAAACTCGTTCAGTGTCAGTGTTCAAAACACCAATGGTGTGAGTTACATAAGCTTTACATGCTATACACATTCTATTTGATGCATGCAAACACTCATTTAAGTTCATCTCTTGTACGTCAAATATTTTATTATCAAGCAAATTAGATAATCAAAGAACGCAAGTTTTGAAAGTAATCCCAATGCAGGTGATTGGCAAAGCAAAAAATAGTATCAAAGCGTTTGGACACAGCCACAAACGGACAACAGTTTTCCTTCTTGGTGAATATTACAAAGGGCAGTACTTGTGTTCCATATTTGCACTCAACGATATTATTGATATTGTACTGTGTTTTGTTAATATTGCATGAATCATGACCATATGCGATTGACAACTGCCGTAACTGACGTGTTGACCATATTTGACTCACTACCGTGTCCGCAGTCCAGGATAACATCCATATTTGTTGAGAAATACCTCCAGTTTGTAATATGTATTTTAAAAAAATCCAAAAGTGTACAGTTGTTAACACTTCCAATACCAATCCGTTGATGGATAGCAGGACATATTCTTAAATGGAACTTCTTTTGGTCAGACCCACGCCGATGCTCTAGCTTTGCAAAGAAAACCACAATGCTGAGAGCCCACCACAGAAGAAAAATTAAGAAGAACATCATGTCTAAGGTATGTACACAAGTACCGTCATTACTCGCTTGAGATGTGTTGGGAGAGGAAGTTGATATTTAACTGTGGCGAAAACAAGGTCCTCTTTGTATGCAGGTGCCCTTGTTGATGATGACCAGTGTGGTTATGATGGCGAAACAACTCTGACTGAGAACTAGAATCAGATACACAGCCATTCTTGACAGGGATCCTGACTTGGGCATCACATCAATGATGAAGACCAGAAACACAGAATAAGACATGCATATGGAGATGAGATAGGACATTCTTTCTCCTGAGTCGATTGGTAGTAGGAATGAACAGGCGTTCAAGAGAGACAACAGACACATGGGAAACAAAATGGTGGTCACGTAGAAAGTTGATTCACGTTTCATGAATAGAGTGAAGTATATGAAACGGTTATCTGTTTCCGACGATGCGTTTACAGTGTGCCATTCAGATGATGTTTGTATCCAAGAAGGCATATCCAGCCATACATACGGTATAATATTGTATAAAATGGGAGAATTAACACCTACATACATACCCACCTACAATGTACACACACACCTACATGTACCTACCTACCGACCTACACAATAAATGTACCTACATCCATACCTACATGTACCTACCTACCTACCCACCTATATGTACCTACCTACCTACATGTAACTACCTACCTACCCACCTACCCACCCATCCACCTATCTACAACCAAACCACCCACCCACCTACATGTACCTACCAACCCACAAACCCAACCACCCATCCACCCACTTACCTACCTATCTAACTAAACACCCACCCACCTACCTACCTACCCACCAACTCACCCACCCACCTACCTACCTACCCACCATCCCACCGACCAACATACATACACATACCTACCTACCCACCCATCTTCCTACATACAAACCCACTTACCTACATGTTCCTAAATATCCACCTACCCACCGACCCACCTACCCACATACATGTACCCACCCACCTTCCTACATACAAACCCACTTACCTACATGTACCCTAAATATTCACCTACCCTCCCACCCACCCACCCACATGCATGTACCTGCCTACCAACCTACTTACTTACCACTCCACCCACCCACCCACCCACATACATGTACCTACCTACCCACCCACCTTCCTACATACATACCCACTTACCTACATCTACCTAAATACCCACCTACCTACCTTACCGTGCACCCCACCCACCTGCATACATGTACCTACCTACCCACCCACCTTCCTACATACATGCCTACCTACTCTGCCCACCCGCCCACCCATATACATGTAGCCTAAATACCCACCTACCTACCCATCCCACTCCACTCCACCGACGGACATAATACGCCTACTCTACTCCTCCTCCCACCTACCCACCCACCCACCCATCACCCACTCTACCTACCTACCCACCTACCTATCTATCTAAAACTCACCCACCTACCCACCTACCTACTTACAACCTACCACCCCATCTCCCACCCACCCACCTACATGTACTCTTACCTCACCTGACCACAAACCCACTGGACCCACCCACCTACCTTACCTAATTACCCACCCACCCACCCACCTACCCACTGACCCACCTCATACATCACGCACATACCTAACTACCCACCTACCTACATACACACCCCACCTACAATATACCCACCCACCTCACATGTACCTACCTTACCTACCACTCTACACTCCCACCCACCCACCTAAATGTTCCTACCTCCCCTACCTACATGTACTCCCATACCTACCCACCTAAATGTACCTACCTACCTACATTTAAATACTCTACCCACCCACCCACCGATCCACCTACCCACCTACATGTATTATACTACTCTACCCACAAACCCACCCACCCTACCTACCTACCCACACACCCACATATACTTTACACATACCTACTCTATCATTCACACACCTTTCCTACATACATACCCACCTACCTACATGTACCTATACTCTACCTACCCACAAAACACTCTAGCCAATCCACCCACTCCACCCACCTACTCTCACCCACTGACATACATCCACACACCCTATATACATACCCACCTCTGGCAATGTACACACCCACCTACATGTACTCTACCTACTGATCTACACACCTACTCCACCCACCCCACATGTACTACACTACCTACTCCACCTATATGTACCTACCTACCTACATGTAACTACCTACCCTACCTACCCACAAACCGACCCATCCACCTATCTACAACCAAACCACCCACCCACCTACATTAACCTACCAACCCACAAACCCACCCACCCACCTACCTACCTACCTATCTAACTAAACACCCACCCACCTACCTACCTACCTACCAACTCAACCACCCACCTACCTACCTACCCACCATCCCATCCACCAACATACATACACATACCTACCTACCCACCCATCTTCCTACATACAAAACCCACTCTACCTACATGTACCCTAACATCCACCTACTCCACCCACCTAACCAACCCATATACATACCACCCACCTTCCTACATACAAACCCACTTACCTACATGTTCCTAAATATCCACCTACCCACATACATGAACCTACCTACCTACCTACCTACCTACCTTCCTACATACATACATACCCACCTACCTAAATGTACCTAAATACCCACCTACCTACCTACCTACCCACCCACCCACATACATGTACCTACCTACCCACCCACCTTCCTACATACAAACCCACTTACCTACATGTTCCTAAATATCCACCTACCCACCTACCCACATACATGTACCTACCTACCTACCTACCTTCCTACATACATACATACCCACCTACCTAGATGTACCTAAATACCCACCTACCTACCTACCCACCCACCCACCCATATCCATGTACCTACCCTACCCACCCACCTTTCCTACATACATGCCTAAACCTACCTACCCACCTCCATTCCCACCAACATACATGTACCTACTCTACCCACCCACCACCAACATACATGTATGTACTAAATACCCACCTATCTACCTACCCAACCACCCACCCACGTACATGTACTCTACCTACCCTCCTCTCACCTACCAACCCACCCACCCAAACCCACTCTACCCACCTACCCACCTACCTATCTAAAAACTTCACCCACCTACCCACCTGCCTACCTACCTAGCAACCTACCACCCACCCAGCTACATGTACCTACCTACCTACCCACAAACCCACCCATCTACCTAACTAACCACCCACCCACATACCTACCTTCTTACTTACCTACCTACCCACCTACCTACCTACCCACCCACCCACATACACGCACATACCTACCTTCTTACTTACCTACCTACCCACCTACCTACCTACCCACCCACCCACATACACGCACATACCTACCTACCCACCTACATACATACCCACCTACAATGAACCCACCCACCTACATGTACCTACCTACCAACCTACACACCCACCCACCTAAATGTACCTACCTCCCTACCTACATGTACCTACCTACCCACCTAAATGTACCAACCTACCTACATAAAAATACCTACCCACCCACCCACCGATCACCTACCCACCTACATGTACCTACCTACCCACAAACCAACCCACCTTCCTACCTACCTACCCACCCACATACTTACACATACCTACCTATCCACACACCTTCCTACATACATACCCACCTACCTACATGTACCTAAATACCCACCTACCTACCTACCCACATACATACCTACCCACCCACCCACCCACGTTCATGTACCTTACCTACCCACCTACCTTCCCTCCAACCTACCTGCCCGTCCACCAACCACCCACCTACACACCCACCCACCTACCTACCTACCCACCCACTTTCTTACCAACCTACCTACCCACCAACCCAAACTCACCCACCAACCCAAACTCACCCACCTACCCACCTACCTACTTACCTATCTACCTACCCTACCACCCACCCACGCTTAATGCTAAAAACTAATATCTCAGTTAGGACAGAATAAAATGTTTATCCATGGGGATTTACATGGCTTCTACGTACATAACAAATATGCACACGTTTCATCACAACTAGTTTTATATTTATCGCATCAAATATGCAATTTAGATACATACGTATTTAAGTACAGTTAAACGCTAACCGTTTAAACTTCCGTAGAGAGGGCAACATTATCGATCTCATAGAAAAATACATCCTTTAAACGACATGTTTGAAACCTTCTGCCTAATGAGTTATTTGATTGCCTGAACGTGCTTTCGTGGTGTGTGCCAATCAATGATAGCACGGTCTCCAATGCACAAATACATTCCACGATCAATTCCATGTATAGTATATTATGGACTTGTAATTCAGACAATTAGGTAAATATCTCAGCTATTTTGCAATGGGAACACCTCATTTACGTCATGTACGACAAGGCAAATTTCACAGATGCAGTGAAATACGCCATGCAGATAAAAGAAAAAGATGTATAAACAACACGCTCTACCAGAAAAGCATATTGTTTCTACAGGTGCATGTAATCATACTTTGTAGCATGAATCAGCTCTCCGAGGGGGTGGGGAAGAGGTGGACTGTCGATATCTCCACTTTCCTAACGTTTGGCAAATCAAATAGTGTATATACGTAATTTCTGGATTATGGGTCAAGTACTGTAAAACAGGTGGGTTGCAATGAGGCCCGGGAGTGCCGCGCTGTCCAAAACACGGACATCGTCTTTTCACAAGAATTGCATCCCGCAGCAGATTCCGTTCTGCTCTTGTTTTCATTAGACAATTCAGGACAGTAACAGGAAGGTGAATTTCGACATATACCGAGGCAAATGGGCTCTATGCGGCACACCTGAAAGCCGGTGAAGGGTGATCATAACAGTTTATCATAGGTTGCAACGATCACTGTAGCCTTCGTAAGACCAAGGAAAGCCTATGTGCCAGTTTACCGTGTTTACAGAGGCGTCAAGGTATTCGAATCAAAGTTGGCGGATAATACATCTGTGTCCGCAGATTTAGATGGAACTTCTCCTTTGACGTCTCCCCATATGTTGAATAACATTTCTGAGCAGCTTGGGAAAGATTAAAAATCCTTTTTAGGACACGGTATTGATGCTGGTGGTGTCTTGTTGCTCGACGATAACACGACAGCCGTCACCATGTATGGTTCCCTAAAATACGTTTGTCAAGAACAACACAAATCATGCCACAACTGAGAAATATAACTTTTGTCTTTAGATCGTCATTGAAACATTTTGGAGAGTACTACTGCGAAAAGGTCCAGTGGAAGGTTCCCTGATCACAATTCGCTGACCTTCAGATAACATACATGTTATGTTCTTTAAGAGGATGTTTTGAGTAAACGTTACCCTCGACGATATTTGTCACTTAAGAAACTGTTTTACATTTTTGTTGTTATTGCCAATGGAAACAAATTATTGAAATGCTGGCAAAGGATATCCTAATATCTCCTTGCCAGATTTCCAAAGTGTTCCTGACAGCATGTGGTAATTAATCAACAGGCCAATAGATCAATCAATCTTTATTTCTTGTAGTGGAGGCCACAGGCCCATTCTACATTTACATATGAGAGAGTATATACAATATACAATATAAACAATAACATGCGGTTCGGTTATGTTACAATATGTACAAATGACTGCCTAAGGTGCATAGCTTCATATACATACACTGATAGATTTTTTTAAAGTTTCTGGATTTATCTCTGACATTAACATGTTAAATTTATGTAAAGTAGGATTCAAGTAATATTCTTTGGCAAACGTAAAGACCTTAGATCTTGCTATACATTACATAATGATTATAAATGGTATTCGTCTTCAATATTTCGTTCTTTGCATACAAAATCTATCAACTTTAGTTTCATTAGCATATCTGCCAGTTTCAATTCGAAGCCGGTGTGAAAAACATCTAAATTCAGCAAACGCAGCCCTGAATTTTGAAATAGTGAGTTCTTTGATATACAATTCTAAGCAAAATGATGATTTAAACGAAATATAGGTTGAATATTTAGTACTGCTATCGAGGGCTGCGTGCCAATCTTGCTCATAAGATACTTTAAGTCTGTACACAAACACCGACATAAAATTTCTAACACCAACTACACATTGTTCCTCCCAAAGATAGCCAAATCCATACATGTAGAGAATATGTTTGATTTTAGCGGCCCAGTTACTTTTCCCCTTGGTACAATCTAGTAATATCAGACATTGCATATTTTACACCAGTAGGCAACGGCCTTTTCATAACTAAAATATAGATTGGATAACGTCCACATTCTCCTCTGACAACATGGTTCGACGCTGAAGATTTAACCCTAAGAAATCGTTAACATGCAAACATTTGTAAAAGTTCAACTTCTTTATAATTATCTATAGAGGAGAATGGGACTAATTTTAGAGTAAAAAAATCTTTAAACAAAGATCATATGGCAACGGATTAAATATATGTAAAGATTTAAGCACACTATACAATTTGTTTTTGAAAATTAGAATAGAAATTTGAATAGAATAGAAAATTGTCAATAGAAAATTAACATTAATGCAAGCAACATCGTGGTTAAAATGAAACACGTTAGTCGACAAACTTCACAATCTGCACCATAGTATTACGTTTTAGTGATCGAAATGTATATCCTTACATTAAATAAAACTTAACATATCGATGGTCACTTGCTTTAAAATGCTACGAATATGTCCAGAGAAACGGCAATTGCTATGCTGAAAACCAGCAACACTAATTATTATATGATATTTATATAGCGCACATATCCAGGCAACTAGTGCTTGCTCAAGGCGCTGGTATTTTTTCCCTCGATCATTGGATGACAGTCTCAACGGCACATCGTGTTATCAATCTCAACTCCCTGGGGACCATACAACTCTTGCAACCACTAGGCGCACCGAGTTACTGTGGCCTTCTCTCATCCTAACGATTCACAGCTGGGTGGACTGGGACACATAGTCCAGTACTTTGTCCAAGTTCACTGCAACTTTCTGTACCCGCAACTTGGTGTTTGCACGTATTCATGTGGCCACCATCTGGTCATATACCAACGGATTCGTGGGTTCTTTTGAGTGCACAGGGATGTGTACTGTACACTAGGGGTTGTGACAACACTGAAAGAGTCTGCACACAAAGATGACTCCGAGGTTGTTACACCCGGTCACAGGTGGGCTCGATCCCGACACCTCAAGCTCGCTGGATCACTAGCCTGGCACCCTAGTCAGCTCGCCAGCTCGCCCATCGCGCCAACACTAATGTGGATAAGCCATTTACTTCTAGTCATCGAGTAGAAAATAAATGTCTTTACAATACGTGAAATACGACAATTCGAGAGTCACTTGCCTGGACATGCTACGAATTTGTCCAGAGAAGCAGCAATTGCCATGCTGTAAACCAACGGTTCCCAACGCCATGCCGCCATGCTGCCATACACCGTATTCCATCAACTCGATGACCAGTACTGGACTACAGGAAGTGTTTTACGCCAAGACACCCTATTTTTAATATTACCTTAAGACAGATACATTCATACGATGCACACATCTATTCAGATCTAAACTGCTGCCATCACACGAAATAAATTTCAGTGACTAAACGGTTGTTGAACGAAACTCGTTTAGTGTCAGTGTTCTTGGCACCGACAGGATCAGTGATATAGCTATACACGCTATACGCATAATATTTAAAGCCTCTAAGTATGTACATACAAGCCACAGATACAATTGTTTCGTCCA